AGAATGAAATAATTCTTGAAGGACTAGGACATTGTCTATACCCTGTCTCCAAGGATAAAACCAGTTTGGGTACTAGAAATCAAGTGCGGAAGAGTTGTTCTAATTCTGTTAGCAATAAGCTTTGTTATTATTTTGTAACTAATATTACATAAGGATATTGGTCTGAATTAGTTTATATAAATAGGGTTCTCAACTTTGGGAATCAAGGTAATCTCGTATCATTGACAGCAACTACTTTAGTAGGATTATTAAAAACCTTATTAACAAGATTGAGCAAGATTATGTCACTGATTTTTAAAGAAAAGGGCATGTAAACCATCAGGTTCGGGAGATTTAAAATTTTCTATGCTAAATAAGGAGTTCCTAACTTCATCTACTGAAATGGCAGCATCTAAACTAACCCTGTCAGAGTCTCTTAAAGGAGGGAAAGATGTACGTGTAGTCAAACCAAGAGAGTAAAAATAAGGATCAGAGTACAAATTTCTAAAATAGTTAAGAGTTAAAGATTTTAGGTTTTTAATATTAAACTCCCATTGATCAAACTCATTTTCCAGAGCTTCTATAATATTTTTCTTTCTACGACTGACAGCTGCTCTATGAAAAAATTTAGTGTTTCTATCACCCAATTTAAGCCAAGATGACCTGTAGTGATGATACCAAAAAGTTTCTTCAAAATCTAAAATTTTTTGGTAATCCTGCCAAATAGATTTCATCAGTTTATGGAGGTATGGGTTGTCACCATAAGCTAGTTTCCTATGTATGCCCTCGATTCTACAGAAAATACATTTCTTTTGATTGAAAATATTATCGAAAACAGTTTTATTCCAATGGGATATGTTCTTTGTAAATCTGCTCACATTTTCTGTCCAAGAAGAAGAAGGGCTCGAGGAACTATTAACTTGATTACTAAAGTCCGGGTGAGAGATCCAGGGAGCAAAAAATTTAAAATTATTATAAGACTCCATTGTATCACCCTTAGTCCTAATTTTGAGCCAAAAACCTACATGGTCAGATTTTAAAATAAATAAATGAACCACAGAATTGTTAGGAAAATACTTATTCCAATTATCATTAATAACAACCCTATCTATTCTCTCTTTTAAAGTGCCTCTATTCTAAGTAAAGGGATTGCCCTTAAACCCTAGGTCATACAGATGGCATTCATTCAAACAAGTAGCAAATTTTCTCATTTGGTACAAATTAGCATTATTGCCCCCAATTTTCTCTTTATTGTAAAGCATAGTATTAAAATCTCCAACAAGACACCAAGGGAGATTGATGGTTTTCCTGAATTCAACCAGTTCCATCTAGCATTCAGTTTTAAGTTTATCTATGGGTCTCACATAGATAGCAGAGAGTATCTATTTCTTATTATCAGAATTTCTAATTTTCAAATGAATAGCAAATCTAAATTTTGCCATAACAGTAGCCCTAATGTTTCTAGTATTCCAAAGACACCATATACCTCCAGAGAAACCCACAGCCTCTACCTTTTCATACCCATTTAAATTGATTTTTTTAATGACTTGATCAGCTTTTTCATTACTAATCCTAGGTTTAAGTAAGGCAAAAATATCTAGTTTATAAAAATTTACCAAATCATTCACTAATCTGGCAAACATTCTACCCCCAGCTCCCCTACAATTCTAAAAAAGGCAATTTATAAACACTAACCACAGAAAATTTAAAAAACATCCTTAGGATGCATAGGAACTAACATACTGGAATTCAGTTTTGAACTATTAGTTAGGCATTCAGAATTACTAAAAGAATTATTCTTTATTATATCTATATTCATAATAGGTGAATGGTCTGGTGGTTTACTTTTAGTATCTTTATCAATGGGATTATGAGAGTTCCAACAGTTACCTAAATTAACCCTTAGAAGATCTTGAATTGAACCTTTTTCGGAGAACGATTGACTTATAGCTTTCTCAATATTCTTCATTAAAAAGAAAATGTCCTTTTCCCTATCATTTTTTAAATTAGAATATTGAGTCTCAGATATAACTAAGTTCTGGTTTTTAGGGTGAGGATCCTCCCTAGAGTCATCATTAGTTTTAGAGAGTCTTACATTTTGATTTGATTGGGCTAATTTCTTAGTTTGATTAGGAAGAAGAAGAGTCTTTGAGCCACCTTTTCATAAAAGTTTGGGCTTACTAAGGTTACCCTTAACAGTTATATCCTTTCTATTATCCAAGTTTTGGTTCCCTGTTATAGCTTCATGTTCATTAGACATGTCACAAATTTCACTAGCCACATTAACGCCTGACACATCAAAACGAGATTCAGATTGAGAATCCTTGACTTTACCACTTGGGATAGGGGAATTATTGTTCTTAAACATACCTAGTTTTCTTCTAATAGGCTTCTTGACTAACATCTAGAGGCCAAATTTGCCCTTAATTTCCCTAGATTGATCATCTTGACTAGATTGGGTATTCATTCCTATGTCAATAGTTCCAGATTCTTTTTCAACATTTTCATTTGTTAAAGATGTAGAAGCCTCTACAACATAAGGTTTGAAGTTTTGATTAGCATTAAAGTTCTCACTACATGAATCCATTCTGTGACCATATTTATCACAGAAAAAACAAATAAGATGTAATCCCTCATACTCAACCCTAAAATCATGTCCTAGGACTTTAAAGGAGGGGACAAGTTTTTGGTTGAGATCTAATTCTACACAAATTCTGGCAAATTTTTCTCTAGAAACTAGGGATGTATGTGAGTCTATTTTTAACATGGTCCCTAAATAGCTTCCTACTTGCCACAAAAATTTTTTATTGTAAAGTTCTAAAGGTAGATCAGGGACACGAATCCAAACTGCTATCTTTTTCATGTTATATTCTTTTGGCCTAAATAGGGGTCTCCACCTCTGGACCAAGAGGTAATGATCCAAGATCAATCAAGGACCTTCAAACAGAACAAATTTATAGTCGTCTAGATTATCAAACTTGACTAGGTAATAATCATTGTTTAGATCTAAGACAGTAAGGCTTCCATTCTTACCCTAAAGTGCCCCCAGTTTCTAATTTAAAAAAATTATAACTTGTAGATTTTCCTAAAAGTTTTATTATTAAAGTAAATTTTCACGGTGAATACCATTGCTCATAATCCTCAAGAGGGATTTTAATCTCAGGGCATAAATCCTGAACATCGTTGACAGCTAAAGCATCCACCTCATCTTCTAGGGGAATATCTAAATCTTCCATTATAAATCTAAGCATTTCATCATTACCTAGTTCCATTGTTATGTCTTTTGCTGCAAAAACCTTATCTCTATAAGACATATGAGTAGGGGAACAGGGATTAGAAAGAACTTGGTTGGTGAGCAAAACAGGGCGCCGATCTTCTTGCATGTCGTGAGTAAAGGCCATTTGAGGATCCATAGCCACCACTTTAACTTTCTTTGTACTACGGGTCATGAGATCTACCTCTTTTATAGAGCACTTCTCAGTCTCTGACCTCACCATAAGTGCCTATTTCATGCGTCGAGATAAATGAGGGCAAGAATCCTTATTAGCTTCAGACAACGCCTCTAATGTGACCGTTTCCGTCGCGATGGCAGATTAGAGAGAAAAGGAAGAAAACGGGTAAGGAACCCTAAAATTTTTTTATTTTTATTTTTTTAAATTAGTTTTTATTTTATTTTATAAATATTGTACTCAAAAAATTTATACCAATAAAAAAGAGACACGTGGTAAGTTAAAAAAATATTATTATATATAATTTATTTAAAATAATATTATTTGCTATATAGTTTTATTATATATATATATATATTGTATATTAAATTTTTATTTTATTTTTTAATAAATTTTTAATTTCAAATAAAATATAATTCATATTTAAGTAATTTCTATTTATTATAAATAAAAAAAATTATAAATAATATATTGATTTAAGAATTAAATATTAATAATAATAAAATTAAGAATATAAAAAATATATTAATATAATATTATTATTTTATTTTAAATTTTAATTTATTTTATTTTAATTTAAATACTCTTCAATTTATTTAATTGTAACAAATATAATAATTTATTACTTAAACATGTGTCTAAATATTATTGATTAAAAATTTTCATATACGATACGCTAAAAATTTTGTATGGATACCACAGATTTTACCTTTCTTTTTTGGTAAACTTCTTCATATACTTAAATTTTTATGATTTTAATACAGCATTAAAGGACACCATCTTCCATATTTTATGTTTATCACTATTTTCCTTTTAATTTCCATGATGCATGAGACTTTTATTTTCATGTTTTTTTACTTTTAAATTTGTTGTTTCTTGTGTTGTAATTTAATTTGTATATATGTTTTGCGTTTTTTTTTAACTTATTCTTAGTAAATATGCGACATTTTAAATATCTCTTAATCAATATGTATGGTGGATCAAGTTTGCAAGTTAATTTACTCACAAAACTAACTTAAAAGAAAAGGATTTACTCAAACCTTATAGAGACCTAATATTCTGACTATTCATAATTAACGTGAGATAGCTTATAGAGTAAACGTAGTGATAACAAAGTTGAGCCCCCTTTGTTTAATATAAGTGGGTCGCGTAAGCCTCCGCTTCGGCGAACAGACCCACTTAAGTCCAGTGACTAGTCCGGCCCAAATTGTCACAGCCATGAACTCGCTTCACACGATCCATACCTTAAATAAAGTTTTCAACATCTTCCTCTATACTATATATGTTATTATTGTGACATTATTAAAAAATAATAATTACATGATAGATGAAAATCCTTTGAATAATATGATATAAAATATTGAAATTATTGTTGGAAAGGTTTACATGTGAATAATACGGCGCGTTGGACTCTTGCTTGCATGAAGACAACAAAACCTTGTGAACCTCTTCACGTCTTGCAAAACAGTTTTGCCTTGCCCCTCTCTCTCTCAAGAAGCAAGAATATTTGAGTCCAAAAATAATAATAAAGGTTTTGTCTGAGGTGAAGTGAAGTAAAACGATAGGGAAAACATGGGGGGAGGCGTAAGCAATGCGTACTTGGAGTGTGTGGCGTTCTTGATATTATGCACCACAATCTTTGTCTGCAGTGCTCAGCAGCAAGAATCTGAATCTCAGAGACAGCAAGGTAACACCAACTCTTCACATCATTTGCATGTATGCATGCATGCATGGGTGCGTGCATATATATATATATATATATATATATAGAACATAGAATGAATTAGTGAATCTGACATGGTTTATAATGATAAGTGGGGAGTTACATGAAGATGGTGAGGAACGCGAGCGAGTTACCATTGAAAGATTACTACGACTATATCATAGTGGGAGGAGGCACTGCGGGGTGCCCACTCGCGGCCACGCTATCTCACGCGTTTCGAGTGCTTCTTTTGGAACGAGGAGGAGTTCCCAATTCCAACCCCAACTTGATGAATCAAGAAGGCTTCTTGACAACACTCTTGAACACCAACACGCGCGACTCTTCCGCCCAAGCTTTCACGTCCGAAGACGGGGTCCCCAACGCGCGTGGCCGCGTTCTTGGAGGCAGCAGCGCCATCAACGCCGGCTTCTACAGCCGTGCCGACGCCGATTTCTTCACCCGCTCTGGCTTGCCTTGGGACATGAGGCTCGTGAACGAGTCCTACGAATGGGTGGAGAGGGAAATCGTGTTCAGGCCTCAGATCAAGACTTGGCAATCCGCGGTTCGCGATGGCTTGCTCGAAGCAGGGGTAGCTCCCTACAACGGCTTCACTTTAGACCATGCAACCGGCACTAAAATCGGCGGTTCCACCTTCGATACTGCCGGCAGAAGACACACCTCCGCCGATCTTTTGAGATATGCCAGGCCGTCCAACATCCAGGTCGCCGTTTACGCCACCGTCCAGAGGCTGCTTCTTGCCGCTTCAACTGCAATCGGTGTCCTCTACCGCGACCACACGGGGAGTTTCCACCATGCAATGCTGCGAGAACATGGTGAGGTCATTCTCTCCGCCGGTGCCATTGGAAGCCCTCAGCTTCTTCTTCTGAGTGGGATTGGTCCCAGGCCTTATCTCTCTTCCTGGGGAATTCCAGTGGCCCACCACCTTCCCTACGTGGGGCATTTCCTCTACGATAATCCTCGAAATGGAATCACTTTTCTCCCCTCTCAGCCACTGGAGCATTCACTGATTCAAGTCGTGGGGATCACGGATTCCGGGGTTTACATCGAAGCCGCATCCAACGTCATTCCTTTCACGTCCCCTCAACAGAGTCTCTTTGTACGCTCCCCTTCTTCCTCGCTCCACCTCACCGTGGCCACTCTGATTTCGAAGATCTCGGGACCTCTCTCCCGTGGCTTTCTTCGACTGGCTACCACCGACGTGAGCTTCAATCCTATTGTGAGATTCAATTACTTCAACAACCCCGTCGACCTTGAACGCTGCGTCAACGGCACCAGAAAGATTGGCGACGTGCTGAGAAGCAGGGCATTGAACGATTTCAAATTCAGCAACTGGGTTGGGAAGAGAGACTTCAGGTTCGTAGGGCCTGCTTTGCCCATTGACCAATCGAACTACCTTGAGATGGCTGATTTCTGCCGGCGGACGGTGAGCACCATATGGCACTATCATGGCGGCTGCGTGGTGGGCAGGGTGGTTGATCATCGTCTCAAGGTCATCGGAATTGGTTCGCTTCGCGTTGTGGATGGATCCGTGTTTAGCGTCTCGCCAGGAACCAATCCTCAGGCCACCCTCATGATGCTTGGAAGGTAAGGTTCTGAATTCTCATTCATTTCTTCACACTGTTACGTTTAATCGTATTAATATTATGATATACTCACAGGTATTTTGGTCTCAAGATAATCAGAGAAAGGGACAGATAGATAGAAATGATTCTTGGCCCCGCATTTCTAGTTTCTTCTCTCATTAGAGTGTCTTCATTCTTTGTGTACAATATGGATCCTTCTTCATGAAATTAATTAGCTTAGCAGCATATAACACTCATCAAAAAAATTGTTTCTCCCTTCCACTTGCTTCCGATTTATGCGTATATTTGGTCATACTATTTTCACGTCCTTTCTTTGCTTTTATTCGACATCTTACTGCAAACTACGCTATCTGAAAGTGAGAAAAGATGTTAAGGGTTTCTAAATATCAAAATTGTGAATGAGACATTTTGGTAACAGTGAAAATGCAAATAATAATAAAATAAAACTTTATATGCTTAAATGTTACACGAAGTAATATTTTTTTAAAATGTTACAAGTTAGTAAAATAAGTGGTTGTTCTTTTTACCAAATAGCTATATTTTGGTACACCAATTTTTTAAATTAGTCAAACAAATTAAAAATTAATTTTTTTGCCTTCCTAAATACATTCTAGATCGTAAAAGATACGTGAATTTAACTTTGAAAGTAAATTCATGTTTTCTTCTTCTTTTGTCAAACTTGAAATTCTTTTCTGTCTATCTTAAGAGGATCGTGAAACCTTTTCTCTAGGCATGAACAGGCAAATGCCTTTCTCGGGCCCATGGCCCAAACCATAAACAAAATATGGTAATAAACTAACCAAACTCGTTCGCTTAAAATTTGGATGTGCATGAAACCGCTTATTAAGAAGAAAATAAATTCTATCCAAAGAAGAAGAAGAATAAAATAATCCGTTTTTATAACTTCACTTAAAATTCTAATAAATAAAGTATTCGTTCTTTACAGCTTAAAAATTTATGTGTAAAAACGACCATGTTCCAATTAAAGTTAAAGGCTTAGTTTGATATTTAAGGATTTTTTTGTTGACTAAAATATTATTTTTAAGTTTAAGACGATTTATTTAAATTGGAGTTGGATAAGATAAAAGAGTATTGAAGATGATAAAATTATTTCTGTGAAATTTCTAATATGAATATATCAATAATTGAATACGAGAGGAACAAAATAAATGATAAATAACGGTTTCCATATATTGTAATTTCTACATGTGCGTTTGGTTTTGGGCCTTTTAGTGGTTAGATACTTGTACAACATATCAGGTAGAATGCTCATGGCAATGGGGTCAACCCTCACCTAACACCTTAGAAGGTAGGGAGCATGCAAAGTCCAATTAGGAGGCTTGTCAATAATGTCCCACCAATTTTGTTTTGTTTCCCCACTTTTAATAATAATAATAATGCATAAGTTTAATAGTTTTATTGTAAATAATTACTTAATTTATTTATTTTTATCATCAAAACTATTTTTATTCTTGAAATACTTAATAATATAAATAAAAAACATATTAACAAATATACAACAATTAATATCATCTTAAATTTTTACACTCAAAAGTATAAATACATTTTTCCTCTTAAAAAAATAGAAAGAAAGACAATACATTAAATGTTGACTCTTAGTATTGATTAATAACTACACTGAAATTGAGTGAAGTTATTGGCAACTTAGGCTATCGACGCTGATTCGGCAAACTACAAATTTGAATTTAATTTTTTATATAAGGTTTCTCCACTCTAAGATTAACTTTTGAAAGCTTTTCAATTGCGATATTTATTTGATTTTTTGTATCAACTTATAAGTATTCATATAGAAATTAAATAACCTTTTTTTAAATTATATAATTTAATTTATATAAATTTTAATGCATATGATTATTTTTGTAATTAGAAAATAAACTTAATGGAGGTGCTTATCAGAAACCGAATGCTATAAATAAATATTTATGTTGATTTATTAAGAGGAAAACAAATTGAATACCTTGTCACGAGTATTAAATTAAATAACAGACAACTTGCCAAAACAGACAAATTACTGTTTCTAAGTTTGCAACATTCAGTGCTGCTGATATGCGCAGGCGAATCCAAAATAAAACCACTCCGCCAGCGCGTGCTGAGACAACGGTGTCAATTGCCACGTGAAACTCACGTACCCACTTTGCATATGACCAAAATTATAAATAATGTTAATCTTATTTGTTAGATCTAAATCTTATATATTTCGTCGGTTAAAAAAGTAGATCTAAAAAGATTATAATATTGTACATGACAGGAATCAGGAACACCAGTACTGGATTAGTGGGAGAGGAAAAATATTGATTATGATGAGATTATATATTACCGTTTGTATTAGTAATCAAATTATATTATGTTTAATTTCGAAGCACTTTTCATCAAAGCAAATTTATGGGGTGAGGAAACGGAATTTGCTGAAAAAGTTAATCAAATCTATTAAGGAATATTTTCCTGAAAAAAGAAAAACCATAGGTGAGGCATTTTATGGGTGCACGGACATAACTTTTACTTTATGAATGTGCGCACTAATTGGCCTCTCCATCAATGATTGTTTAGCAACAGCAAATAATAATAATAAACCTTAGTCAATGATGTAATATGGTAAGCATGTTGACTAATGCGCAGGTGAAGGAACATTTTCAAAATTAATGACAAAGCAAATTGTTTTCAGAAGAAGAAAAAAAAAAACAAAACAAATAAATGGGGTGATTTTACTCCATCGATCATTGAATGTATCTACCACAATTTTCCAACGAAAGGAACTTGAATATAGGGCCTTTTTCTAATTTATAACGAGTGGAATACCATGTTTGTAGAGCCAATTCAGACACATTTTTCTTGTTAATCTGGTAAGTTATTTAGTGACTTTTAATGGACCGATTAAAAAATTCACAACTATAATGAAAACGACAAGAACTTTGCTTGAACTTTTATATTTGTACCCCTGTCCTCTCACACAGACATTGCCTATTTCTTTTTCTTTTTTTCCTATAGATTTGACTAATTTAAAATAGACAATTTTATGAATTGATAATGTTATTCTTTCACACCCACCTCAGTTATTATTAAAAAAAAGTAAATTTTTTTTTTTATTTTAACAATTAGCATGAGAAAAATCCACCACCAAACCCTGAGCCTAAGAAAAATCTCCCATTGGCGCACACACCTCCTTGTTTCTTGGTTTATATATAGAAAAGAAAAATGAATGCCACTCGGGTTTGAGAGTTTTATACAATAAAGAGCACCTGAGGCATTTGTTTGATTGGAACACAGTGAGATCAATTCAAAGGAAACAGAACAGAATATAGAGAAAGCATCTATGGCATCCTCTGCTTGTACCAAACCCATTTTCCCTTCTACCTTCACCGTCTCTTCTTCTTCTTCTTCTTCTTCAGAATCAAAGTCAAAGTTGGGTCATGTCTCATTCATCAACACCACCTCTCCTCTCCCCATATACCGTAAGCTCTCTCGTTCCAACCCGTGCCATTCTCAACGTTCCTTGGTGGTCAACAATGTTTTGAAAACAGTTGACCCGGCACAAACCTCGGTGTCCGAGGATGTTGGGAATTTGGGTGAAAAGCCCACCATCTTGGTCTCCGAGAAACTGGGAGACGCAGGGCTTCAAGTGTTACGTGGTTTTGGACACGTGGAATGCGCCTACGACCTCTCACCCGAGGAACTATGCACAAAAATTTCATGCTGCGACGCTTTGATCGTGAGAAGCGGAACGAAGGTGACAAGACAAGTGTTTGAAGCTGCCAAAGGAAGGTTGAAGGTAGTGGGTAGAGCTGGTGTGGGCATTGACAATGTGGATCTGCAAGCTGCCACTGAATTTGGGTGCCTCGTTGTTAATGCGCCCACAGCGAACACTATTGCTGCTGCAGAGCATGGGATCGCTCTCCTCGCCGCCATGGCCCGCAATGTTGCCCAAGCTGACGCCTCCGTCAAAGCTGGTAAATTTCCAGATCTGTTATTTTTATTCATCTATATACAATTTAACAATGCAAATGTTACATAGTTTTTACTTTTTAGAGGGAAAAAAAAACATGTTATCTACCATTTAAGGATTAGTAATTTATTGACGTGTTTTTGGGATATACATAGAAGTTTTCCTTTTGGAGGGTGGGTTTATTGACTAGGATACGAATATTGTAGGCAAGTGGCAGAGAAATAAGTATGTGGGAGTTTCTATGGTTGGAAAGACGTTAGCGGTAATGGGGTTTGGAAAAGTTGGATCTGAAGTAGCGAGGCGTGCAAAAGGGTTGGGCATGCACGTGATTGCTCATGATCCCTATGCTCCAGCTGATAGAGCCCGTGCTATTGGTGTCGATTTAGTGTCATTTGATCAGGCCATTTCCACTGCGGATTTCGTCTCCCTCCATATGCCACTCACTCCAACTACTAACAAGGTCTTTAATGACGCCACTTTTGCAAAGATGAAAAAGGGTGTTCGCATTATCAACGTTGCTAGAGGAGGAGTTATTGACGAAGATGCATTAGTTAGAGCCCTTGACAGTGGAATTGTGGCTCAGGTTAGCTCCAACTTAGTTTTATTGTTTTTAATGATTTGTGTTTACTTTTTGAATTATGTGCCTCAAATTAATTGCCATATTTTATTTTTTTTTTGCTTACAATTGGATGGAACAGGCAGCACTTGATGTCTTCACCGAGGAGCCCCCATCCAAAGACAGTAAGTTAGTGCAACACGAGAATGTAACTGTTACGCCACATCTTGGAGCTAGCACCAAAGAGGCACAGGTTTGTTTGTTTGTTTTTTACTTTTCTATTAGATTATATTAGATATTCTGCTCGAGTCCTCACCAACAATTTTGACTCACCAGGAGGGTGTAGCTATCGAAATAGCAGAGGCTGTGCTTGGAGCATTGAAGGGAGAACTTTCAGCAACTGCTGTCAATGCTCCTATGGTTGCTCCTGAGGTAAACTTTGTAACATTCCAAAGGTAGTAATAGTGAAAAGTGAAATGTAACATGGTTCGGTGTTGTGATCAGGTGCTATCAGAATTGGCTCCATATGTGGTGCTAGCTGAGAAGCTGGGGAGGCTAGCAGTGCAGTTGGTATGTGGAGGAAATGGGATCAAATCTGTGAAGGTGGTTTATCGATCGGCTAGGGGCCCAGATGACCTTGACACAAGAATTCTTAGAGCCATGGTTACAAAGGGTATAATTGAACCAATATCAAACACAATTATCAACCTTGTGAATGCTGATTTCGTAGCCAAGCAGAAAGGCCTTCGCATAAGTGAGGAAAGAGTAGTTGTTGATTCATCTCCTGAGCTACCAGTTGATTCAATCCAGGTTCAAATATCCAATGTGGAGTCCAAATTTGCGAGTGCTGTATCAGAAAATGGTGAAATCAGCATTGAGGGAAAAGTGAAGTTTGGTATACCCCACCTCACTCGTGTGGGGTCTTTTGATGTGGATGTGAGCTTAGAAGGGAATCTAATCCTGTGCCGACAGGTGGATCAGCCTGGCATGATTGGTCGCGTGGGAAACATTCTGGGTGAACAGAACGTTAATGTGAGCTTTATGAGCGTTGGAAGGACTTCTCGTAGGAAGAAGGCTATTATGGCTATTGGTGTTGATGAAGAACCAAACAAGGAGGCTCTTCACAATATAGGAGCCGTTCCTGCCGTTGAAGAGTTCGTATTTCTCAAGCTCTAGTTGCTATATACATGCACACAGCTTTTAACCTGCGAGTTTTAGGACGTAATATAGCTTTTGATTCTTAAGTGCTTTTTAACAAACATCTCAAGTGCATGTGCGCATGCACTCTAGCTAGCTTGCTTTTGATTCGAGGAAACTCATAGCTATCTTGGATGTATTATATACGTATGGATGATTGAGAATAAAAACTAGCTGCCAAGAAAGACAGCTAGTAGTGTGCATCTCTTCGTTGTCTCTGCATCAAGTTTTGCTATTTCAGCATCATTCTTTCAAATTATGTTTTGTAGCTTTGAACATTCATGGCAATATGCTTTTTGTATGATTTCATTATAAAGAAAAGCTTATTTATTTCAAAATTTCAATGAAGTGATTATTGTTACAGTCTCGTGATAAAGGCAATGATTGCTAGAGAACTCATATACGCAAGTAAAGGCATTGGTTTTGAATGTGTTTGGCATTTGTGCATACTAGACAAACCAAATCAGTGAAATGTTTTAAATCTGTTATTTGTCCAAACTCTTTGATTCACGTTCTTATGGGGACGATTTCAGATCTTACTAAAATATATTCCTTAAGATGAGTTTTCAAATTACATAGATGAATTTTCAAATTTGATTCTTTTAGTACAATTGGTAATGATTCAATTTCATTTATTAAAATTATTCAAATTATTAAAATTACAAGTTTTTAAAAATTAAAATTCAAACAAATTGTTCACAATAATAGAATTCCTTACCTTAAAGTCTCTCAAACCCCTTTGATTGAGAGTTAAATTTAGGAGGAAAAATAAAATATTTATTTGATGAAAAATTTTATTTAAAAGTTTTTAAATGTGAGAGAGAGTGTTTATAAACTTTTTAAATTTCTTATAAAGTCATTAATAAATTTTTATTTTTTTTACTTCCTTTTTTCTCTTTTCTTATTTTTTTCTTTCTCTAAACTTTTAAACCAAGTTTAAAGTGTTTTTATATTAAAATCATAAATAAAAAGCAGTTTAAAGATTGAAACATTGAATTTACATTTATATCCTGTGCAGTTCCGGGATCCAATTTCGTTGTTCTTTAATAAAATTAGTTAAAGTTAGATTGAAATATTTGCTATTATATCAGGCATAAACGACCGAAGACTTTATACTCAGTGAATGTAGATTTATAGAATAAAAATAATCTCTAAATTAAGAAATTTGCAAAATAAGATACTCATTATATTTATTGTTCGTTTAAATTAAGTTCTCGTAAACTTAACTTATTTAAATCAATGATAATTATGTTTTTTCACTTCATATATCATCTTATTTAAAAAAATCAAATTAAAAAAGAAAGATGGATATATCAAATATTATATATTTACGTAGAAATTTTAATCTATCTCTCTATTATCATATAAATAAAGTTGTGATTCTGTTAATTTTAATTTTAAATTGTTCTTATTTGTTAAAAATTATTATTTTCTTAAACACTAGTTCTTTTCTCTCAAAATAATAGTTTTATGTTTTTTTTCTCGTGCTAAAAAAATGTTGTCTCAAAATTTCTACTAGTTTCAAAACCAAATAATTTATTTCTTTCCAAATCTTATAGATAAATCTCGTATTTTATTAATTTAAAAAATGACACATCGTTCTTATGTTAAATTAAATATTTTATAATTTGAGTTGTTTTCTGTCTTAATCTATATTTTAATTTTCAATCAAACTAATTATATGGTTTATTGATAGTTTTATAATTTTTTTAATAAAATGAATATTAGCTACCAATGTGGATTAATTCAAATATTTAATAATATATATATAATTTAATATTTGTTAAAATATTAAAAGGTATAATATTTTTAATCAGTAAACAAGTTTTTAATTATAATATTTAAAAGTGAATTTAAGAATCTATAAATAATATATATTTTATTAAAAGCATTATATTTATTACCCTTTTACATTCTCAAAATATTAAACAATTAAATTTTCAACAATTTTTTTAATATTTATTCGCCGACCTGATAATACGCGTATTAGAAGCAGCCTTTGTTAAACAAAATATTTGATCATAACTTAAAAAATTAAGTTACAAATTTATATTATTTGGTGGAGACATTTAAAGGTTAACAAAACGTAGGAGAGTGAGGAGAGTAGAGAATTGGGAAGAAGGAAGGTGGTTGAGGGATAGGGTTAGGGTTAGGGATTGGGATTGATCAATGGCTGGGACCGGCATTCACCCATACCACCAACAATGGGCTCCAGCGGCTGCGGCTCCAGCACCTCCTCCGCCACCAGCTGCTGCTCCTCCGCCTCATTCCACCGACGAGGTTCGAACCATATTCATAACAGGCCTTCCCGAAGACGTGAAAGAGAGAGAACTCCATAATCTTCTTAGATGGCTGCCTGGCTTTGAAGCTTCTCAACTCAATTTCAAAGCCGAAAAGCCTATGGGTTTCGCTCTCTTCTCCACTCCACACCAAGCACTCGCTGCCAAAGACATTCTTCAAGATTTGCTCTTCGATCCCGACACCAAGTCTGTTCTCCACACTGAGATGGCAAAGAAAAATCTCTTCGTCAAACGAGGTCATCTTCCTTCTTAGTTTCAATCATCACTACAATCTTGTCTGATTATTAATGAACATGTTGAAAAAGAAAGGATCCGGCTTGTTGTCCTGACCGTGAAACTCAAACCCTAGCTTCATGTTCTGAATTTCCTATTGTATGTTTATAATAGCTTTGCAATGTCGCTCTTTCCCTGTGTGTGAAGCATGTTAATCATCTGCACTTTGTGTTTGCACAAAATAAGTAGTATTGTGTCAAGCCTGGTTGATTTCATAACCTTTTTCTATATGCTTCGGAATCATTTTGCTTTGGATCTTTATGCCTTGTGTGGTGTTATTATTCTCTTCAGATGTGCTTATTTTGATTTCTTTGTAGGAATAGGAGCTGATGCTGGTGCTTTTGATCAAAGTAAACGCTTGAGGACAGCCGGGGATTATACACACACCGGATATACAACTCCATCTCCTTTTCATCCTCCCCCACCAACTGTTTGGGGACCACATGGGTAAACACCGATGATATATTTACAATCTGAAATTTGACTGCAAGAAAAACAAAAGCAGTCAGTATATATTTGCTTTTAGTTTGTGACAGTTTGTTTTTATGGCCCAGATACATGGCTCCACCTCCTCCTCCTCCTCCATATGATCCATATGGAGGCTATCCTGTTGCACCTGTACCAATGAATACTCCAACTCCCGTAGCAGCGCCTAGCAGTTATGTTCCTGTTCAGGTGAGAGTGGCTGAACCTGAAAGTATAAATGGTGCTTTGCTTTCACTTGATTTCCCTACCAATTCCTTGTCTTGCAATGATCAGATCATATTTTAAATAGGGAAGGCTGAATTTTAAATTCTCTGTTAAAACACTCTAATTTTTCCTATTTATTTTATCTTTTGATTGGGGAGGACCTGACCTCTACTCGCACTATATATTTTACAACATTTAGAAATTGATGAAACAATTTATCCCCATACTACTGTGCTAATGACATGTAGAACATGTTGAAAAACAAAAAATAATCCTTGCATTGCAACAGAAAGTAAAAATCATAATCAACTGTATACTGAATTGAATGCAAAGAATGAGTTTTTTTAATGCACATTGAGATAAGAGATGATATGAAGAATCATCAGTCAAGAGACTCGAGACATATGAAGCATAAACCATAAGATTTACGATATATTAAAGACAAAAGAATACACGCACAGTTACAAATGCAAGCATTTGAGCAACATGTGCTGTTAAATTTAAGAAGTGGACAATTGGGAGGGGTGGGGGGAGATCAGAAAGAAAACAGCCAGGTGCTTAACAATATAAAAAAGGATATTTTTTGTTTTTCTTCACTTTTTCCCATACCCAAAGTGAATATATGAGGGAGGCACTTGCCTTTGATTTTGTTTTATAGATTGTTGAATGGTGGTTGAGTTGTTATTTTGTGTATAGATTCGGAATCATATTTTGAAGATTACTATCACTGTTTTTCTATGATTACTGATATGAATAGTTATTCCTGTACGAATTCTTGAATTTGTGTTTTCCATTCTGTTGGAGAAGATATTGAACCGGTAATTCTGGTGTACAAATCTCGTCATTTACCAGAAACTACTTTAAATAAAGGTTGTATTAGTTCCAAGCTTTTCTTTAAGTGATAATGCATGTTTTAAGGTTTTGCTAGACTTGATTGCTAATGTGACAATTGTAAATTCTCTAGAAAAGATTGCAAATAGATTTCTGATGTCACTGTAGGAAAAGAAGCCTTAGGGAACTACTAAATTTAATCTGGAATCACTAAGTATGTTATCTTCAATGAAAATGAAGGAGTTTTTGTACTATACAATATACATATAAGATAATCTATTGAATTGTTTTATGTTAGGGAAAAATTCGTAGGTCGTTTACCTGAGATATTATCTTGCTGTATTGTTTGTTTTGCCCAGTTGTCAGAAGTTTTTGGTATCTAATTTATTAAATCTTGTATTGATTATATTTGTTTACTATTAAACTTCCTGTTGCCCAAGCCCAATGATGTTATGTGATTTCTGTAGCCAAGCTCATTTAGTGGGAAAAGACTTTTGTTGGTATTGTACTAATAAGCTTTCTGTATGCCTCCATCAGAATTGGTCATGAATGATAAGTAATATGGGGTTCAACTTTTTTTCTGTACAGAACACAAAAGATAACCCTCCTTGCAACACTTTGTTTATTGGGAACTTAGGAGAGAACATTAATGAGGAAGAAGTGCGGGGTCTTTTCTGTGTGTAAGTGAATCTTATCCTTGACAATGACTCGTGCTCATTTTTATGTAGTATTTTCTTTGCTCTTGAGTATTTGGAGAATCTGTTGAACTTGACTTTGTGATGCAGTCAACCTGGTTTTAAGCAAATGAAGATTCTAAGACAGGAGAGGCATACTGTTTGCTTCATTGAATTTGAAGTCAGTAACCTTTTGATCATATTTGTAGCTTTTATAGTACCTTATGATTTGGTTAATACTTGTGCTATCCTTTCATGAAAGTTTTCTTTAGCCTGATATTCAGTGACCAATTGCAGGATGTGAATAGTGCCACCATTGTGCACCGAAATCTGCAAGGTGCTGTTATCCCAAGTTCTGGTTCTGTTGGCATGCGGATACAATATCCTTTTTTATATTGTTAAGCACCTGGCTGTTTTCTTTCTGATCTCCCCCCACCCCTCCCAATTGTCCACTTCTTAAATTTAACAGCACATGTTGCTTAAATGCTTGCATTTGTAACTGTGCGTGTATTCTTTTGACTTTAATATATCATAAATCTTATGGTTTAAGCTTCATATGTCTTGAGTCTCTTGACTGATGATTCTTCATATCATCTCTTATCTCAATGTGCATTAAAAAAACTCATTCTTTGCATTCAATTCAGTATACAGTTCATTATGATTTTTACTTTCTGTTGCAATGCAAGGATTATTTTTTGTTTTTCTTGACTTCTTAGCAGATATTCCAAAAATCCATTTGGAAAAAGAAAAGATACCAACCTTCCTATTGTTGTTCCCAGTGTCAATGGAGCTCCACCAACAATGACTTATCAGTAGCTTGAAGGGGATGTACTCTGTTCTTTATGCTCCGACAAATATTACTACATAATAGGATGCATCTTGCAGCTGTCACATGCATCCATTGATTGTCAAGTCATCGCCATTAGCATCCTTGCTCATGTGAATGAATGCACAGTGGCATCATATACATACATTTGGCTATGTTACACTAATCGGACATGCATTTCTTGGCAGCATGTGTTGGTTCCCAGATTACTTTTGTAGGGTTTAGATTACTTTATCACGTGTAGAATTGATGCATGGGTCTAGATTATGTTTGAATTGTGTGCTTTATGGTCATATATACTTTCTGTGTACATTGACATTAGGAATGCTTATTTAAACCGGTTTTGGTTCCTATTTTCCAAATTTAGGTTCATCTGTTGCTTGTTTGACATGACATCTTATGGTAATTGCTTACTTTGATTTCATGGCACAACTTGGCTAGGGTCTGGAGATATAAGGATGTCATACCAATGGTCATCTTGCCCTTTTCACTATCATTACCATTGTCATTACACCATATTTTTTGTCCGAGTCAGTCATTCATGACTGCATTTCATCAGAAAACTGATGTTAATGCTTTGATATTCAAGCTATTCAGAGCTATTTAATGGAATCCCGGGAGTTATATGTTGTCTGATTTATACAGGATTTGATAACGACAAAGCTTTCCTTTCATAATGGGAGGTCCATTTCTGCTGCCACCATGTTCTTGCAGGTAAATTTTGTTTGCTTGGGTGAACTACCATCAGATTAGGTTGGAACTTGTCAATTATCAAGTGAAGCGGCCTTTGAATTATAGGGTGCCTGAGTTTCTCATTAAACTGCTGACTCCCCTTGTCATCGACATGTTAATTCTGTGCTAGTTTTCCAAATCTGCTATTGTAGAAGTAGTTTTATTTGTGTAGAAGTGACTGATAGGTTAAGAATAAAACTAGAGGAAAATAGAATGGTTGTTGGGATCCTCACCCTGCTATGAGTTACAAGTTTTGGATCTTTTCACAGTCGACTCTCAAGCTCGGTACACACCTTTCATTATTCTAAGTTTTGCCATGGAAATAGCAACTTCATATCTAGTTTTTGGGGATCGTAAGAGAGGTATCCATTGTGCAACCTCAGTAGTAGAAATCGATTCTACACAATATAGATGTAGCTATTGGATTCATATAACTTGCGCCAACAATTTAGGTTATTTAATGGGCATTTTGCAGCTGACTGTTTCCAGCGCTTCTGCCTTTTTCAGGGCAACGGAAAGCACCTATCGACTTTATAAATTTTTTTCAAGTCTTTTACTGTTGATTGCAGTTCAATATTATTTTGGGTAGATTACCTCTTTGGCCTTTTGTAAAATGATATTCTTGATTTTATAAATTGCTATAGAATTTCTTTCACTTTAATTTTTAATGTTAACAAAAAAGTTCAATGAAGGATTAAAATAAAAGAAATTTTACAATATTTTATGAATAAGAATCGACTTTTATAAAGTTAAGAATTAAAGTGAATAGCATTACGAATGTTGGATTAAATTAATGGTGTAGTCAATATTTCAATGACTGATCGTAGTGGTAGTGTTTACTGAATACATGAAAAGTAAGTAATTTTTCTAATGTTTATTTTTATTAACCTATTTGTGTTAGAAAACATTTATCGAAAAAGTCTTGAAAGAACTTAATAAAAAGTGTAAAGTGAACTCAAATTTCAAATGTTGATGTAGCCTTAATATACATGAATTTCAAAGTGAGCTTTATCTAATGATGATTTACCTACCTACTCTCTGAAAATATTCCCAAAATCTTTTAACTGGTTTTTCAGTTTGCATTAGCCCTTTTATACAGTCACAACACAAGGTGCAAGTCGCACGTCATGTTGCCTTTCAAAGCCCATGTTACAGCTGAAATTTCATTATACATATTATTTGAGAATGTGTCGTTTAAAAAGAAAATTAACGTAAAAAATCAATTAAGGTACACCATTTCCAAAAAAATAATGTTTCAGGATAGGAACCAAATAATCAAGTCAGCATTTACAAACCCGACGCTAAATTGACAGGAAGGAAAATTATTGCCAAACACCTGACTATAGAAAACTTAATCTACACAAAGCAGAGTTACCCCCAATCAAATTCAACAATGATAGAAGTGAAGGGAAAACCGATTGCAGGGTAGAAAGAACCTCAAGATCAATGAAGAGATAAATTTTAAGCAGTGTAAATGTTTGCCAGTAATTTCATGATAAATCTAATTTACAAGGGTGAAACTATGCCTCACGAACTACCGTGAGATCTAACAGAAGAGATTGATTGTGCAGATACAGATGCAGTAGGACTGTTAAGGTCCCTTTCTCCATTTATTTCCTTTGGTCTTCCACTAAGTCTTTCCATAGCATCTTGGCATATGTCGTTAAACCATTCATCTTCAGGCAGCTCTCTGACAAAAGAAGTTATATCAGACTCATGAAACAGCGAAATGCCTTCAATGCCACAACTTCGAATAGAAAAAAATTGCAAAAACAAAGATATTTTCTTGTTTAATGATAATGACAGAAGGCCCCACCTATATGGATCCATCCCTGTAGCAGAAAATGCTGACATTGCTTTTGTTATAATCTCATTGACAATTCGTTGCAAATTCCTTGACAAGTACCGACCGTGGGAGGCAAAACATACGACAAACTTCATATCCAAATAGAACTGCACAAAGTACAAAAGAAAATTATATGGTCATTTTCCGCCATGTAAAGTTTGCATCTATTGATCTTCCATGCCAGTAAATCATTTATACACCATATCCATATGCTTTCAGAGATTCTAAAGAACAACACGTTCAGCAACCTCAGACTATAGTCATTTTAAATAATATTACAAACACAGGACATAAAAAATTTTCTTCAAGCGAAGGAAAGTATTCACATTTCAAAGTATAAGTAAATATAATCTAACAATGGAAATGAAAGTAGGACCAGAATCTAAATGGTTAGCATTGTTGAATTTGTATCTCCATGTTCGATTATCGCACAGACTAACTGATATTTGTATAAAAGGAAAAAAAAGCTATCAGCTGCATGAAATGAAAAAGTAATTAATTACTAATGCTATCGTAGGTTATTTTCATGCCTTCAGATTTAATTTAGTTTGGATTGTTCGTATTCTTTCAATTGATTATTTTAATGTCATTCAATTAAATTAGAAAGGATTTATTAGTTAAAAACGAATTTTTCTTTTTGTTTGAAGCAATAAATTGGCCAGTAGTTCAATCTCTAAGTGATACAAGACTTGCCTCAGAAATATTAATCCTAAATAAAATTCTCCTATTCAGATCTGCATATGAAGGCATCAATTCTTGTCTGTTGTGGCATAGGGTTTTTAACAGTTACTTCAGCAACCAAAATTAAAAGAAAATCATATATGAAATTATAAACAAATTCCAATATCATACCTGTTGAAGACCAAGAGGACCTAAAGGCCTTGGTCCCTCCTCAATATCATCCCAAAAGCTTTGGTCTCCAGAAAGCCACAACATGACAGTTTCTGTAAGTCTCATCAAGAGTAATGTAGCAAATCTTTCCCTCCCTACAAACATATCTGCTGCCATATTGGCCATTCTGTTCAGTTTTATGAAAAGTTCCTGGACAATAACATAATAACCTCATCAGATCTTGAATAATATTTTAAGTATACCTCTGCAGTGAAGTTAGAAGAGATTTTTGTATTTATTTTAGCAAAAAGGAAAAGATAATTCATATGCAAAAAGAAAAAAAAGTCCACTAAAAGAATCCAACACGTGCCATACAAGTTATAAAGAAATAATACTTCCTCAATCCAATATCCAACGTCGAACACCATGGTTATTAGTTAGAGAAGATAATTTTTGGTTAAGAAATTCAAAGGTGGAAATTTCTGTAAGAACTTTGCTTGAAAATCAAAAATCTAATTCCAATATAGGTTAGCATTTATGCTATAAATAAGAAGATAGTGTCAAACTGAAGATGTGAAAATATCAAACTGATGATATAAAGTAATCACATCTATCTAGGAAAATGGGAGGAGCTTTGATGTTTAAATGCGGCTGCAATTTACATCATATTATCATATACACCATATGATAACAAAGAAAAAATCAATATCTAAAAACTAGAAGAGAAAGATGTATTACCAGCCAGCATATAAAACTTGACCACAATGCATAACCTATATAATATGAATTTTCTGATGATAAAAAACTTAATGCGTACGTAAGAAATGGCACACAATTTTTACTTCCTTCCAGTGGACACAGACATTTAAACCCCAAGAATAAATTATACAAGACAATTTCCATAATCGAGATATTAGGAAATAACAACTTCAGTTGTCGGCCAGCTGATGAATGACTATAACAGTTTCAATTTACTGTATGAAGTTGTTAGTCATATAACAGAATCCTTGAATACTAACATAAACTGAGACATTCAGAAAATTATTTCGCATGGTACCAAAATTAGTTGGCTATTTCAGAGTGCAAACATTGATTTAAAAAAAAATACTTGAAATGGGACAAGGTATTCTGAAAATATACAAAAGCCATAAACTAACTGCTGTAATCCAGTCATACTTATAAAATCTACAATCATGAGACAATTAAAGAATCAGATTCTGGAGCTTCCTCCACGTTACATGCAATAATGCTAACCCCCAACAATTTTCCCACCAAGGATAATAAAAGAGTGGGTAGGAAGGAGAGAGCAGAAAAGAGATATTACACACATCTCTGCAGTCTACAGAGCAAAGCCAAAGGAAAAAAAAAAGAAAAATTTCAAATTCATTCTAAGAACAATAAGAGGCCGAAAAGTCTGAAAATCTGTATAATACATTAAAAAAAAGTAATATCAGACTTCCAAAATACCTGAAAAATCAAAGACGGAAACCATTCAACTTCATCTGCATTTCCATCCATATTTATATACATGTCAGCTGTAAGATGACTATTGCCTTCCTCAGGAAAAATTAGGTCCAGAGCATGTTGACGACAGAATATATTTTTCAATCTATCAACTGAACCCACGAGTCTTCTCCTCCATTCTCTTTGTTCAGGATGTCGATTTTGTCTTTCTAAGGTTCTTCGATTATCGTCTTTGTATGCTGCCTGATTTATGGGGGAAAGCTTCATGGCTGCACGTGGAAGTAGTTCATCGGCTAGTAAAGAGGCATTAGCTAGCAATGCAATTTGCTGGGCCTCAGTCTCAGCCATGCGTACAATTTTGTTTCCAGAATCTTCAAAGCTTGCTTCTTCTTCCATTGATTCAGGTAATGCTTTTATGAGCATGCTCACATAAGAGTTAAATACTTGAAACAAGCCTTCTAGAGCTTGGCCTCCCAACTGCATACTAAGCAGTGGTCCTACATCCTCAAAGAAGTCCTGTATAAGCATACAGAACATCCAAGAAAAAGTGAATTGAAAATATAAAACCATTAAAACTATGCAGGAAACATGTAAAGAACTTGTTAAAGTTAGACAAGATTAAAATGTGTACATGAGTATGTCTTTTCAGTAAGAAGGCAATTATTTATTCAATCACATTAAGAAAAATGTTCAAAATGTTATTAAGAAGCCAAATAAGAAAACTGACAAAATCATAGACCAAAAGATGGATTATATTTATATATGAACAGAAGTAAACCAACTGATTGGAAATACAGAATTCTAAACATCTTCACTTAAACAGAGAAAAGATTTACACTGAGAGTCAAAATAACAAATCTTTGTTTTAGAACAACTAATCACACTGTCCCAACTAATGCTGCATCTCTACTTTGAAACCATTCCAAAAATTGTTCTATGTAACAAGTCAATATCAAATCAAAATTGAAATTTTTACCTGGACCATCAAATTGAAGCGATGGGCACTACTTGTAAGTTTATGTTGAAATGCTGTTATGTTACTAAGGGATATACTTGAAGGCCTACTAGTCTGACGATTAGCTGTAGGAGGGTACGTGAGTACCCAATCATCAGCCGCAGCCAAAGCAGCTGTACTCTCTTGGATTCGTTTTAAATTAGCATCTAATGCTTGTTCAACACTAGGCCTAAAAAGTTTCAAAAGCACAGGACAAAGAGCCAGGCCACGAGCTTCCAACAATGAGCAATGACCCAATGCTATTTGAACACACTCTGCTGCGGCTCTTAAACCTCCTGCAGCTGCAGATGACGCTAAAGCATGCCTTTTCACCAGAAGAGCAAATGCCTCTGTTTGCTTTGTAGCCCACATCACAAGTTCAGAAGTATAAGCTGGCTCCTCACCAAAAATAGCCAATGAGTCACTTGCAGCTTGTGCTACTGCAGAAAATACAAGTTGTGCTAGAGCTGCAGTATATGCTCCTCCATATGAGGTGCTAGATGGCCGAAGACTTTG